GGGGGGGGGGTATGAACTGCAAGTCAACTAAATGAGAAGGTTTTTACGATAATATGATGAAACATTAAAAAGTTACTTATCAATTGTTACTCTCTCTCTAAGGCGTTGGTGAGCATGGGCTTCCACTGATCTCTGTCTTCCGTTGCATTTATCATTTCTATAGTGGTAATTTCTAGTTCCCTCTACAGAAATGATAAGAGCAACGGAATACAGAGATCAGTGGAAGACGATACTCACCAACGCCTTAGATGGGCATGGTATCTAGAGGGAGTATTAATTGATAAGTTTGTTTTGCCAGACAACAAATAAGAGTTTTAGTGTTAAAAGTAACATTATCAATCGGGCCAGAAACAATTTGATTTTGTTGCATTTTAGTGTTTGATATCATTTTATGTGTTCGAATAAAATTTTTGAGCAATTCAGCTAACCCTAAAAACAGATACTTATAGTAAATATGTATTATAAGTGTAATGAGATGAAAAGAAAAATTACACAGTGGAATGTTCAACAAAAACAATATTTATGTTCCAAAACCCACAATAAACTCACACAACCACTCCATTTGTTTTAAATATACATAATATCTGTTGTTTCAAATATGTCTTTTAGTGGTGGTATTCATTTGGTAACCAACCAATTTACACAATCTTTGAAATTCTAATAAATAAGAAAAATACACATGAGAGAAATAAGCTGATACAAACTGACGGTAGAAATGAAGCCAATTCTGGTCTTGCTATATCGGTGCTTGTGGTTTGTTTCTTTTTTTTTCACTTGATAAAGATCACATCTTCCGTTCAGTTCATGATGCGTCAAATTAAAATCTACATCTTGACTCTGAAAATGACTATTACTTTGTTATGATCCACCACATAATGTCTATTACTTTTTTAAAGATACACCACTTAAAACGTGAACAAGATGTAAGCAGACTCGTGGATACAACGTACGCGCGATAACGAACCATATGGAGTTCAGTGGAGTCCCATTAGTTGCCAAAAAATGCAGATTTTACAAAACGTGGCCACACTAACAAACAAACGTAGAGAAAAAACAAACATCCCGAGCCTACTCTTGCTGGAGATCGGTGAAGGTTGAGAAATAATTTGATATTCTTTGCTCCATGGCACCGAAGATTCTCTACAATTCTCGTCGGTTTGCTCTTCCTAGCATGAAGAGGAAAAGGATCGTAGAATATAGATATTTTTAATTATTCAAGTTTCCAGGTTTTGGAGTAGTGGGATAAAGTAAGAAATGCACGTCGGCCTTAATTAAAAACTAAGTTTATCTTTTCACTTGATGGATAAGAAGTTATCAAGATACCTTGCTAAGAATCTTCTTGGTAACTGACTCGCATAATATATGTTAATCTAATTTCAATTAATTAAAATAACAATTAGGATGTTGCTTTATTTATCGGTCTTATTAGTATCTGCTGTAAATTGGAGTGGCATAATATCAAAGCACAGTGCTCATAACTTAGAAATAAGGACAAGATGACATGCAATGATCGATAGCATAAGAGCCAAATGTGTAATGCCAGAACAAAACCGTGTGTTTTTAAACAATACAATAAGAGTCAGACAAGAAAGTATATTGTACGTAATTAAAGAATATTTGTAATAAAGGAACGTTGTTCAGATGGGTAATAACCATGTAGCTACTGTTTCAATACTTTTCAAATTTTCTAAGAAAGAAATATATAGATTTTGTATTAAATGTAAATTGACAAAATTGTTTTCTCACACTTTTCACACAATTCAAACATTTGTTCAAAGGAATAGAAGAAAAAGGTGTATATATATGTAGTTCATATTTCCACGTGTTAGGGAAAACCCCTGAAATGACGTCTACTGTACGGAAGAACACAAGAACCATCGAAATCCAACAACTCAGGTCTCACTTCATGTTGTTTTAATGCTTAAAATCCTCCTGTTAAACCCTAGGTTCCTGGGATAACAATACACACAGAGAAGCAATAGGGTGGAATGTTTACTTCTCAGCTTGAAGGAGTTTAACCGAAAATTTTATCTCTTTGCTATTCTGTGATCAGAGGAAGTTGAAGTTTCCCAAGATTATTTTTTCTTCTGACTATTCATCGATTTTCTAAACTTGTTCCAGGACAAGTAAAGAAATCACCTCCACCGTTAGAATCCAAAGATAAGTTTATCTGGCTTATGCCTATCACACTTTAAACTCAGAAACAAACAAACACCTCATTATCCTTTATTTAAACGTATTCATAGTTGATTTTTTCTTAAATTAAAGTCCAGAAAACATGAAAATCAGCACTACTTGTCAAGAAATATGGCCGAGAAAACATTTTAGTCGCAAGTTAAACTTTGATTTGGATTAAACATCATTCGAATCTTAGTGGTATAGAGACACTGTTCGAGAAAATCTCGAGTGTTTTTTTAATACGATTTTACCTCCTTTCTTCTAGGTGTGATACCTATGGCGAAATACCTTCACTTTCTGCAGCTAATGGCGACTTTGAACTAGAAGTTTGAAGGAGTCTAGGCCTGAAATATGGGTGATATTTAAGCCCAGGATGTAACGTTGAAAGGTGGAGCCGAGAACTATAGAGCTGGTTTGGGGAAAGAGACGGGCTACCAGCTGTAATGCTTGAAATTGGTGTAAGATTGGTTGGAACAGGCCGAGATGTGGAACACTGAAGCCTCGGCGATAATTGCAAGTGTCCGTGAAGGTTTCTGTTGTGCTCCGCAGAAGCAGCAACAGCAGCGGCGTTTCCAGTTATCGTGCTCGATGCTGAAACCATTGAGAGCGGTGGAAACATATTTCTAGGGAGACCGAAGTAAAGGCTGGCGAAATGGTTAGCCTGCTGTTGCTGAACGTTCATAAAGGAACCTAATTCCGCCATGCTGAAGGGCATTCCGGGCATTTTCCAGGGACTTCCGGCCTGACTAGCCATAAGAAGTAGCTCGGTCGAAGGAGGAACGCGCCCTAATGCTAAAATGAAAAAAAATCAGACTTTATGTTAGAATACTTTACCAAACCATTTTATATCAATATATTATAACGTGTAACTAACAAAGATTTGGGTAGTTTGGTTTTTCTGAGCTTAACTGAGTTCTCACTGTAAGAATGAGAGTATTTAGCTCAAATCGACCAGATTTATTTTTCGAATATACTTGAGAAACTCTTGATATCAGATATAAATATAACTGGGCTTTCACGATAAAGTTCGTTTTATGTATTTCAAATAATCATTCCTTTCAAACATAGCGACAAAATATAACGATTTATTTAATAAAAGTATCAATTTAGTGTAAGCATTTCAAAGAAACGTTACTGCATAAACTAATGTATACAATATATAATAAATTCCCCCAAACTGCATCATTATAAAACTTCCTGGCAAAATGGTTAACTTCTACTTAGTAAATTGAAATGAAATCTGATCCCACACTATAAATGTATGATTGAAAAGCTTTATCGTTTAAAAAAAAAACAACATAATCAATGCTTCGTTCAAATTTTGTTTAAATATATTATAAATAGCTGACCCTTGAGGAAGGCCAAGAGTGTACACAATAAAGCCTTCTTATCGTGTTGTAAGTTTTAGTTTTGGTTTGTCTTTTAAAAAAAGCACGATAATCTGCAATGTTTAGTTTTCTCCTTTTACTTATCATACGGTCCTCAGGTGGGCCAAATGTAGGCTTACGGATTCCCTGTTCCCCGAGGTGGACAGAATGCAGATAACAAGTTTTGTGCTAAAACAAACAACTAAACTTTTACCACGGTTTGATTATATCAGATAGTTTGAAATCAATATATATGTGTGTGTGTTTAGTTACAAAAATATTACTAATACTTTATTTATCTTGGCTGTTATTATAGTATGCCAATAAAACAAACAGCTTACCCTGTATATTGTATATTGTCTTTTGACGTTTTTAACCTTAAAATAGTCTCAGTGAAAATACGAAACATACGCCAGGTCACTTCGGGCAATATAGCCTGTACTATGTCCAGCTGGAAACTACATATTTAGAGCAATAACACAGCAACTACGGTCAAAAACACAAAAAACGACTCGACGGGAGGGAAATTGACTTAGCGTAGTATTTATTGACAGGGCCATCAATTGTTGTCGAAAATACTACTAGAAGCTGAACGCTCGAGAGAACAAGATGCTGGACAGTCTTAAGACGTTATTTCGAATTGAAATAGCTTAAGGTGATTTATCGGTATCAATATCAATGACACTACTAGTACTGATGTTATCTATCTATTAGATAGATTGGTGGATTTTTGAATCTGAACTTTGAAACTTTGAATGTGTGAAAGCACTCTTTTTGTTTCACAGTGTTGAATTGATTTTATAATAAATGTGAAATGAGTACCGTATTTTTTGCGAAATTGTACAATTATGTATGTTTTAGAAAGAGTTGAGTTCATGTCTTTCTTTTTCAAAGGGTTAAGTATTTTAACTTCAACATATCTTATTTTCTAAATTGTTGTTATCTTCCTAAAAATATTTCATTGTAATTGGTTTTCAAGCCTTTGAAACTTCTACAAAATTTATCTTTTTTACAGGTAGCTTTTGTATTTCATCTATCTACGTCATTTCGACAGATGATGGCTGGTATGTTTGTGATATGATGTCTTAAAACATCTCATGATGTAGAGCGTCTGCTACACCATCCTGTTACTCATCCTTTGTTATATGAAGGCATCTTGGAAACGCTTTTAGGTATGCTAGTTGTTACCATTTAAAATGGCGCGCCCTTTTTGTTGACATAAAGCCTCGTACCCAGATAATCTTGATTCGAATAGTGTACCCACGTTTGTTTTGAGAATTCAACATCACCAAAGCTTTGTGTGTTTGGAAAGTCAACAGAGAAAACGAAAGGAAAGATATAGGACATCGTACATCTTCATTTACATGATAATTTATTTTCTGAATTGTCTGTATTCCGAACTAAAACACGCACTTTGGAACTAACTATAAGCAAGCTTTTTAAATAATTTCTAAAGAAAAATGTGAATCTAGCTTCAAAGATTAAAAAGGTACAAATCTTCTAGAAAACGTTCTCGACGTCTTGTCCCCCAAGGCATTAATGGAAGTGAGAACAAGTTAGCGAATCATTAAAACTACAAAATTCAACTATGTGTCACCACGTAAAGATTACGTGATAGTTTTCACTATAAAATTTAGCGAAGTTATTCGCAAATTTAAGCTTGAGAGATCTTATTCGAACACTGGAGGATTGAGTTCTGTATGATGTTACAGTGTAATTATAATGTGCGAATGAAAGTTGAAAATCCGCTTATGGTGTCCACCGTTCACAAAAGTTTACGCAACCTGTTGATCTATGTATATTAATATATGTTCAATTATTATTTGATCTAACGGATTATCAAGTAAATTACCATACGCATGAAAAAATAACAAAATATGTTTCAGTCTTTTGAAAAACTACATAATTACACAAATGAAAGAGACCCCTAGAAAAAAAATAATTATCACTTTTGTCGCTATTTAACTATATAATCACGAGGTGATAAATTTTTATTACTACTCATGTTACAGGAAACAAACAGCTCGTTTGTCTTAGTGTATATATAACATGATTAACTTTCATGTGTACAAAAACTGATATAATTTATTATCATTTGAATATGAAACTACGCGATATAAGTGAAGATTTTATATATATATTGATAACGTCACACTCACACATACACACAAAATGTCGTGAATATTTTCCACAACTTACCTGCAGCCTGAGCAAAAGCTGCCTGGTCCGAGGGTAGTTCACCAGCCATGAGCGCCTGAAACGGCGAGTGGCGAAAAACGCGCTCTCGAAGAAGTGTTTCCACCGATCCTCTGCTTTAAAAAGGAAGGTGTTTGTTAGATAACAGTTTGTTAGTAAGGGAATACAGTACGTAACTTACCAAGTTTCTAAACAAGGGAATTAGTTGGAAAATGTATTTGTATTTGTAGTTATAGCAAAATTTACTAAGGCAATCTGCCACCATCCCTTATATTTAATTACTGGCCAGAGAAAAAGCAGACTGTCACCAACAATCCAAGCTAAGGAACTGACTGTTACTCAGATAACGCATCCACAGCTTAAAAGTATGGGAATTATTTATGGTAACGCACAGGTTGAAACCCGACTCACCAAATACTAGTTGGAAGAAGCTGACAAACTGAGTTTGTTTTGAATTTCACACAAAGCTACACGAGAGCTACGCTGCGCTAGCCGTCCCTAATTTAGCAGTGAAAGACTAAAGGGAAGGCAGCTGGTCATCACCACCCACCGCCAACTCTTGGGCTACTCTTTTACAAACGAATAGTGGGATTGGCCGTAACATTATAACGCCCCCACAACTGAAAAAGTGAGCATGTTTGGTGGGACCCACGACTCTCAGATTGCTAGTCAAGAGCCTTTACCACCTGGCCATGCCGGGCTTAATGGCAAACTGACAAATGGTACGAAAGAGTACGATGTGACAATAAAATATAGTTTTCGAAAGGTCACTAAAACTCCTGTTGATGATTAATTAAAAGATCGAAAATTGAAAAAAAAAAGAAAAAATATAAAACAAATGTTAACTAAACGATGGAAGTTTTTTTTTAAATTCCAAATGACGTTTCGGGCAGACAGACAAACAAATAAAGTTTGTGGCAAACTACCGAATCGTTCCTTTGAATAAAAAAAAACTTCTGTCTCTTACTTAACGTTTGCTTTCGGTTTTGGTTATATTCAACAAAGAAAAATGATGAAGATTAGGAGAAAATATATCGAAAAGTGAACTCCAGTTATAAAAATGATGTATATTACAGAAAGAAGGCAGGTATAAAGTTATTCGAAGACAAAAATTGTGAGTTTGTTTGTTTTAATTTTCGCGCAAAGCTGCACGAGGGCTATCTGCACTAGCCGTCCTTAATTTAGCAGTGTAAGACAGTTAGTCATCACCACCCACCGCCAACCCTTGGGCTACTCTTTTACCAATGAACAATGGGATTGACCGTCGCGTTATAACGCCCCCACCTGCTGAAAGGGCGAGCATGTTTGGTGGGAGGGAGATTCGAACCCGCGACCCTCTGATTGCGAGTCGAGCGCCCTAATCACCTGGCCATGCCGGGCCAAAATTGTGAGAAACGATTGTAAATAAAAGCTTGATATACGTTAGAAAAAAGACACGAAACAACATGTGAAAAGTAAGAGATGTTGGTGTTTCACGAGTTGCTGCATTTAGCGAGTCATGTGATCTTTACTGTTAAGACAAATCGGTGATGCTACATTTGAAATCAAAATTATTAGTACATATTTTTAAAACTAGGGGTAACTGTAAGTGTGAGTTACTAAGAAAGATGGACAGACAGACAACAGGACCAACAAATAGGAACACAAATTTCAAACACTTAAATCCTGTACAAAGTTCATACTTATACGTCAGTCATAAAAATATTAAATATCTAATTGGCATGGATACATAAATAGATAAATATATACGTTGACCGAGTTAAATGTTAAATAAACGGAGAGGCAATTTGAAATAGTTAGCCGAACAAACTGGTAGTTGGTAATAGTTATTAATATAAACTAGTAGTTAAATATAATTGGCCCGTTAAACTGGTACCTTTTTATGGGTAGTCAAACAGAATGGCAGTTAGAAACAGCTACACACACAAATTGGTATCTACAAGTAGTTAGACATACAGACTTGTCGATAGGACAGTTAGCCACATAAAATGGTGCTTAGGAATAGTTAGTCAAATAGACTGGTAGCCAGGAACAGTTGTTCAGTCAAACTGGTAGCTGTATATCTATATAAATATAATAATACTGTCTATTGTCTGTTGTATGTCCATGTAACTACTTCGCAGGATGTGGGTGAAAATTCACCCAAATTGGTATGGAGGTTCATCAGGTCCATGCGGGGGTACATACAAATTTTCAGTTTAACATTTTGCGTTTTGCGGTTTTATGGAAGTTTTTGCGTTTTTTACCACTACTTCGCCCCTGTATCTAAATCTTCACCAAATTTGGTATGAGATTCATTTGATACATGAGAAGATACATACAAATGTTCAGTTTTTGATTTTGCGTTTTGCGGTTTTTACGTGTGTTTTTGCGTTTTTTACCACTACCTCACCTCCAGTGGATGGATCTTCACAAAATTTGGTATGGTGGCTCATTGGGCCTATGGGGAGATACATGCAAATTTGCGGTTTCACATTTTGTATTTTGCCATTTTTATGGGCGTTTTTTATAATTAAATATAAGGGAAGCAATTTTTTATGCCCTAAGATAACCTTTCATTAATCATGAATTTACATGACTTCCTTCCGTCCAGGGAACAGATACTTCAGCTAGTAGTTAAATAGACAGACCAATGGCTAGGAATAGTTATTCAGACAAATAAGAAGCTCGGAATAGTTAGCCAGACTAACTAGTAGCTAGGGACAGTTAGCCAGACTAACTAGCAGCTAGGGACAGTTAGCCAGACTAACTAGTAGCTAGGGACAGTTAGCCAGACTAACAAGCAGCTAGGGACAGTTAGCCAGACTAACTAGTAGCTAGGGACAGTTAGTCAGACTAAATGGTAGCTAGGGACAGTTATCCAGACTAACTAGTAGCTAGGGACAGTTAGTCAGACTAAATGGTAGCTAGGTACAGTTAGCCAGACTATCTGATAGCTAGGGACAATTAGCCAGACCAACTAGTAGCTAGGGACAGTTAGCCAAACTAACTAGTAGCTAGGGACAGTCAGTCAGATTAAATGGTAGCTAGGGACAGTTAGTTAGACTAACTAGTAGCTAGGGACAGTTAGTCAGACTAACTAGTAACTAGGGATAGTTATCCAAACTAACAAGCAGCTAGGGACAGTTAGCCAGACTAATTAGTAGCTAGGGACAGTTAGTCAGACTAAATGGTAGCTAGGGACAGTTATCCAGACTAATTAGTAGCTAGGGACAGTTAGTCAGACTAAATGGTAGCTAGGTACAGTTAGCCAGACTATCTGATAGCTAGGAACAATTAGCCAGACCAACTAGTAGCTAGGGACAGTTAGTCAGACTAAATGGTAGCTAGGGACAGTTAGTCAGACTAACTGGTAACTAGGGATAGTTATCCAGACTAACTGGTAGCTAGGGAATGTTGTCCAGACTAACTGGTAGCTAGGAATAGTTATCCAGACTAACTCGTAGCTAGAGGCAGTTAGCCAAAATAACTGCTAGCTAGGGATAGTTAGCCAGACTAACTGTTAGCCAGAGAAAGTAATAACTAGGAATAGTTAGTAAGGCTATCTAGTAGCTATAGGTAGGCAGACAGACTGGTAACTTAAAATAGTTAAATAACCAGATCAACTGGTAGCTAGGAATAATTAGTCAAACAAACTGGAATAAATAGCTAGGATAACTGTCACCTAGAAATAGTCAGACAGACTAACTGGCAGACAGCAATAGTTAACCAGTTGCGTTGAGTACTTATGTATCTACCTATAACGATACTTTATTATGAGTACAATTTCCTACTTACGATAAAAAATACCACAACACTAGTGTGTACGAAACCGATACATAAATACATAGGATAGTTATAAACCTATAGACACTAAAATGTGTTAACCTAAAGCGACGGTTAAGGCCTAGAACTTTCCTGAGTCTCGGCAATAATCTGTCAAGGCTAACACCAATAATCCTGAGGAAAAATGCGTGTTTGCGTGACATTCTCTAGTGTGTTAAAATATAGGTGTAGTTTTTGTGAGAAGGCGAAATGTTTGAAGCTGTTTTTTTTGTTTTGTAGATAAAACTTTATTGCAACTTGACACGCGCGTAAACCTGGATCAATGTTAAAACATGGTTTGGTCGAAATGGTAATGGCTACCTACGTATAAAACATGTTTGGTGTTCAACACATGCTTGGATGTTTCACAGAATTCATTAATAATTATAGCAACGCTTCTGTGGTCACAAGAAAAGGTAAACCATTTAAATACCGGGAACCACATCAGTGAACTTCGTATGTTACTTTGTAGTTTACATCCAATAAAGGTAATGTAATAATTCGCTGATTATCAAGGTTAAAGTTCACATAGTAGAACTCTGATTACCGAGGTTAAAGCTCACATAGTAGAACTGATTATCAAGGTTAAAGTTGACATTAAAAGTAGAACTCTGATTATCAAGATTAAACGTGATGTAGCAAAACTTTGGTCATTAATATTAAAAGTGATATAATAGAACACTGGTTATTAAGGTTAAAGATGGCGTAGAATAACTCTGGTTGTCGATTTACTCAACACTTTGTGCTCTTAGCTGTTGAGAGGAACCTAAGCAATGTAAATGCGCATGCGCTTGTTTCTAGAGTTTAGACATAAATTTTGTTTTCACCTGAGTTTTATGCTTATCAACGTGGTTAATTTCGACTTGTTTATTCCAGATGTTGTTTCTAGTTCATTCCAAATATGATTTCATCCGCGTTTTTAATAAGGTTCTGGGGTTTTTAATCTGTGAGGTGGAGCACGAGATACCACCCAGACTTTCGCCCTATTAATACATGCGATATTTGTTTAGTGTGTCAGAGATTATTACCTTAATGTTTCGTAAAATACAACACTATATACTCTTCGGACGTGTGAAGAGAGTTAGCAAGACTACAGCAGAACACTAATTATCTAAAAATGATTCTTTCCCTCTGCAGCAACAGAAATTCAGTTTCACAAAATTTCTTTAATAAAGGCCAATTGTGTGGTATCTAATTCAACTAAATTTGCCCCCATTAATTGCGACACTGTGTAATTCTAAGAACCAGTGAGTGAGGGTAAAGAAAAACATGCTATAGTACGTGAACCAGACAACATCTGCTATATAAAGTGCCGACGAGGTCTTTCGCCCAATACTAGGGTTCAACAGGGCGGTTGGGATTCGACAGACGTAGTAGTGGTTCAGATGCTTTACATATATATCACCAGTTTTAACGAACAACAAGTGTTTGGGTGTGAATGAGATTAAACAATGAATTGTAATTATTACCAGTTTTATTTCTAGGTAAAATTAACAACAGAACGTCATTTATTTTAACACTGTTTATCCTATAAAGAATTGGAAGAATTTAACAGATAAACGTTCACCAAACTCTCGGGTTAATTAAGCAATAAGCTCCGCTATGTATATGTCTTTAATGTTGCTTTACGAATAAATTACTACTTCGCAAATAATGAATATTTTACTGTATTGTGCGACTATATAGTTACCAAAAATTTATACAAAGTGACAAAAATTGTGATACACGGCAAGTAAAAATAGCTGGGATATGCTTTTTTTTTCATCAGTTCCTAGCCTAAAATCTAGCATTTTACATTTAAGCGGCCTTTTGATTTGGTGGAACAGTATACAATAAATACAACTACAGACAAGACAGTTCGGTTAAACATAATAAAAGCTGATAAGGCTTAGACGTTTCATAAATAGTGTTCAGTTTTGATATTCAAGCACACTTATATTCTACATGTAGCCAAAAGTTCAAGTAAAAACGCAGATTCAGTAATGTGAAAGCAAAGTATAGATCGAAAAGACTAGCAAGCAAAGGGAAAAAGACACAAACACAAGTGAACAATCAAAAACATCTTTAGTCACAACAATGTGTGTGTATGTGTGTGTGTGTGTGTGTGTGTAATGCATTCAGGGGCGTAACTACCCTATTAGGCGTAGTAACAATGCTTTGGGCAAACTACCAGCCTGGCTAATGCGAGATATAAAATAAAACTGAAAAAAATTCACTTTCAAAAGTTATTATACTTATTGCTGCTACACATGTAACAAGGTAATGAATTTTTTTATTAAGTGAATGATTATATTATTTTATTACAGGAAACATGAAATTTCATCGCCTGTCGGAAATTGAATGAAACTTTTCCACTAAGAAGTTTCTCAATTCTTTAAAATTACAACGGCATTTCACGCCAATTTGAAGAAAAAATATGATTCGCCGGCGTCTGACGTTTAAATAGGGTTTAAACTTTTTATTGTTGGCTTGAAAAATAAACTGTAATTTGTGACATTTTTTCACGAAAAATTTTACGCGCATTTCCAGAAAATGAATTAGGACCGTCACCTGATACTAGAATTATGAAAAAATTCAACTGTCATCTAATATCTACTTTCTCATTATATCAGAACTGTCTGACAAAAAAACAATAAAGAATGTTACTCTATCCATGAAACGCCGTAATCTAATGTTGTTTTTTTATAACGGCTTTTTTGGGTAATTGTTTTACGACCCTCTCTCTCTTAGACAAAAAGACCGATACCCCCTTTTTATTTTTTTTATTTAAGTAAACAACAAAGAAAACGTTTTTGGTGGATAAGGGGTATGGGGTAGTATCAGATTTATTCCTTTCAGACTATTGTTCACACCACCAGTTTGTTATTGTTTGATTTCCGATCAGACACAATTTCTGTTTTGGAACTGGGCAGTATCCCATGACAGCGCGTCATTTAAACATGCTTATTGCTCTCACGCTTTTCTATTTGCGTTTTTTCATGGTGATGTTGTTGTTGTTGTCATTGTCCATCTGTATACTTTAGAAATTCAGTCTCACGTGCAACATGCATGAGCGTGTATGCTGTGATTCTGACTTCCCCAAAATTATCCGCGACATAAACTATTGATGCAGTAATTTATGAAATTAATTATTCATTGTTTTATGTAGTAGTTTTGCGCTGCTGGTTATTCTCAGCTTCTACTGTACTTGCGTGATCTTACATTTGTTTTATGATATTTTGTTGTTTATTTACATACAGTAACATAAACAAATTAAGTAATTTGTTTGTTTGTTTGTTGTTAAACGCAATGCTACACAATGAGCTATTTTCGTTCTATAGAGCGCGGATAAGGAAACCCAATTTTTAGCGTTATAAGCCCTCAGACGTACGGCTGAGCCATCTGTGGGGGGAAAAATATATATGGACAAGTGTGTATCATATATTTTTAACATTTATATTTGTATTTTCATTCATATTAGTTGCCTTATTTATTATTCTATTACGCTGCTATGAATAGCTATTTCCAATTTTATATATGAGTTTCTTCAAATGTATAGAATCGTGATATGAATTAATTTAATGGCATTGTGTGTTTCGCTTACACTTTGAAAGTTAAACTATACTAGCATAGAATATATAAAATACCTGTGCGCTGCTTCTGGATTCAAAGTCTTCGCCATGATTCACAGAGGCTCCAGTGCACCAATCAAGCTTCTCCATTATTCCCAATTACTTCTATAGCTAACACAAGGGGGGAATTATGTACCCGAAAACAAACTCCATTAAGACTCATGTGCCACTTTTTGTCCCACCAGTTTTTAGTGGGAGTATGAACACAGTTTAGAACCTGGCGCCCCTGGGATCCTAGTAGGGCTATTAACAAACTAAATACGACCCCCCCCCCCCTGCCCTGTGAGGTGAACTAGCGGGCAAACAAATGCACCAAAACACGACGTCAAATAATATAGGAATTCTTTTCAAAGAAATATTAAACACTTGCCCTCCAGTGGCTTAATGGTAAGTCTGAAGGTTCATACTGATAAAAACTGGGTTTCGATACTCGTGGTGGGCACCGCACAGATGCTCCATGGTGTAGCTTTGTGCTTAACAATAAACAAACATTAAACATTTTTTAAAGGATTAAATACTAGTTTGAATTCATCGTTATGCCATGCTTCGTATAATTACTTGAACTGGATTTTCTCTTTTATTACTTTTAAACTTTAAAAATACATTCTGTATGGTTAAACAAATATTTAAGGTCTGATATTAATGATGAATTTACCAGTTGCGAGTCCCGAATTTGTATTTTTCTCTATTGTTCTTTCCAACTTTAAAGTAACTAGTATTTTGTTATTATTGCCTATAAATGTTTATATCATTCCGAATTGGGTTTTCAATTTAAATACGATAAAAAGAAAGAAGAATCTAGCAATATGATAATAAAAATAACTCTTTTTAGATATGCGACCTTAAACCTTATTTGGACTCTCGTTATATACACTGCTTTCCTTTGTTTGCACGTGCGCAATTGCGCTTATTGGAGGAGAGAGAAGATAGCCCTCAAATAATAAGGGCTTACAAAAAGCTTACCTTTCGAAATCGGAGAGTCTAGACGAATCTCGAAAACCTTTAGCAAATGGATTACTGTCTATCTTCAACTTCGTAATCTGAGAATTTAAAGATCACGCAAAGATGTAATAATGAAAAAGTGTTTACACAGAGAGAACTATATGTTAAAAAAGTGAAGAGAAAGAAGTCTGAAAAGAAAAAGGAAAAATAACCTACAAATAAACTAAAAACAAAAGGATATAATATTGATTTAAAAACGAAAGTAGAAATAATCAACGTACAACCATATCAGTTCATATATATATGGAGAATTCCGCTATGAAGTTTTATACAAGTTATATATATATATATATTGTTGTTTGTGGGAAATGCATGTACACACACACACACATATATATATATATTTTTTTTAGAATATAAAAGGCATGCCAGAGTGCCTAATGTTTCGACTTATAATTAAAACATTATATCAAAAAATATCTGACTAGTGGGATCACTGAGTACTGAAGGAGTTCTTAGTCTGTGTACTGGATCTAGTAAACCTACAATTTCAAAAGAAATAAAAAAAAGCATTTATCATACCAATTGATTCTGGTAAGCTGTCACTGCTGTAAAAACTGTTTCTGGGAAGACGTACGTCCTTGTTTGCTCAGTCTCTAAGTCTGTTATATGAGGAGGATTCGAATGATCCGACCTTAGTTTAACCAGGTGTATTCTGGGCTGGTATTTGTGCATCGAATTTAGGACAATCTGGAAAATAAAAACATCACACGTTAAGTTTAATTTAATGTGAAAACAAATAGTAACGTATTAGCAAGTCCAAATATTCGCAACATGGGAACTGCATTTAAAACACGAATAATGACATGATTAATTGTCAAAATCATCACCAAAACTTTGGAGTAAAGATTTCGTAAATGGAGCAATGGATGTAGTTGAGATTTTTGGCTTATTGCTTGATGCTGGACTTCTGACAGAGAGAGAGAGAGCTAGAGTAATAGGATGTTTTATTAACCTTGACAAGAACAGTGAACACAGATCATTTTATAAACCCTGACAAACACAAAGAACATAGATCGTTTTATAAAACCTGACAGACACAGGGAATATAGATCGTTTTATAAACCCTGACAAACACAAAGAACATAGATCTTTTTATAAAACCTGACAGACACAGGGAACATAGATCGTTTTATAAACCCTGACAAACACAATAAACATAGATCGTGACAAACACAGTGAAAATAGATTGTTTTATAAATCCTGAAAAATACAGTGAACATAGATCGTTTTATAGACCCTGACATACAAAGTGAACAAAGATCGTTTTATAGACAATGATAAATACAGTGAACAAAGATCGTTTTATAGACCGTGATAAATACAGTGAACAAAGATCGTTTTATAGACCGTGATAAATACAGTAGAAATAGATAATTTTATTGGATCTGACAAATACAGTGTATCATAATCCATTTTATAGAACCTGACAAATACCTTTTACAAACGTGTTATGACAGACATTATCTCTTGATCTATCTGTGCTTCAACTTTCCTCACTCTCTCTCTCACACAGAAATAGAAGAATATTCAACGTAAAGGTCTTATGTTGAACAATTTATAAAACTGGAGCTTAACTGCATGTTCTTCTCTCAACAAGTCTTAGTGAAACAAAAATCCAATTTAAATGTCTATTGTCGAATAACTTCCAACAGGGGGAGTTTAACTACATTTTTTTTTCTCTCTACGTGCATCAGTGAAGTGCAAGAAAATCTAACGTACAGGTCGAATTTCGAATAACTTACGATACAGGAGCTCAACTGTGTTTAGTTTCAGTTTCAGTTTTAGCCAACAATGTTTAGTCAAAAACGAAGAAAACAGCGGAGTATTTTATGTTACAAACTGGTAAAATTCCACGTTTCTATCTTTACCAACAGCAACACAGAAAGAAACGCAAAAGTACACATGTGTATCACTATAGAGAAACTGGAAGTTATTTAATTTTTTTTACTAAGTACTCACATGACCCTGTTTGTCCATGTCATTATTGGTCAGTTTAACCTTTTCGAAAGACACCACTTGTTTCTTCAGTTGATCCCCGGTAAAAGGGGAGTCAGGGTGGAGGTAGATACGTGCCGGGGAAGGAGGATCGGCTTTTCCGGCAACTAACCACGAAGACCGGTGGTAAGCATAGCGGTATCTCTTGTTGTCTACCGGAACAATGTCCAATAACACGGCGTACTTAGTCTGAGCGTCGACACCACTGAACGAAATCCTCAAGGTAGGAAACATCCTCCTGTGAAATAATAAGAATAAGAAGTTCAAGTATCATCATTACGTGATGTTTATGTTGGTAGTTTGAGAGGTTTGAACCGTGTAACCTGGGCTCGGTGTTTCATCCCCCGAGCTCAAATTAACATATGAATATTTTCGGCTGCTACAACTCACATAGATCACCAACCAATAACGTGTGTGACAATCTCACGAAAAGCCTCGATTCTACAAATATTTAAAAAGGTGCAATCGTCATAGTATGTCGGCCCTTTAGAGACAATCCAATTCATTAAGGTTTGGAATTCCAGACATATAAGGAATGATTAAGAAAAGCCCAAAACTCTCAAGTGTAAGGAAAACATGAAAGTGTATGAGAGCATTTACACTTTTCCAAAAGCATTAAGTACTTTGACTAGTTAGATAATGTCAGGCTCTTTAAGAATGAAGAAAACAAACTGGTAATATTTCACCAATGAAATTAATATCAGATTATTTAACTACTAGCTGGAGTACCCGTCCCCTGGACGGAAGTTATGTTTAATGAAAGGTTATCTTAGGGCATTAAAAGTTGCTTCCTTTACATGTAATTGTAAAAAACGCCCATAAAATTGCAAAACCCACACTGTGAAATAGCAAATTTGCATATATCTCAACATGGACCCAACAAACCTTCATGCTAAATTTGGTGAAGATCCATTTACAAGGGGCGAAGTAGTGGTAAAAAACGCGAAAACGGAAAAACGCCCATAAAATACGCAAAACGCAAAAATTAAAATTTGTATGTACCCCCCGCATGGACCAAATTAACCTCCATACTAATTTTGGTGAAGATCCATTCACACGCTGCGAAATAGTTACATGGACATACAACAGACAGTAATAATATATTTATATAGATAAATAAGACGAATTAGCAGTATTTTAACAATGCAGTTATTTAACTATAACGAAACCAAGCGGGCAATATTTTAACAATGCAGTTAATGCCACGTTATTTACCTATAACGAAAACAAACGGGTAATATTTTATTAATACAGTTAATGCCACGGAATTTAACTATAACGAATTGTGGAAAGTAACCAAACTATATGTAACAAGTTGACACTGTTACTATGACTCAACGGTAAGCTTTAATTGTGGAAAGTAACCAAACTATATGTAACAAGTTGACACTGTAAGTCTAACTCTTCTCTGGCTCGACGGAAAGCTTTACGGTTTATAACGCTAAAATTTGGGTTCGATCTCTGTGGTGGGCGTAGCTTTGCACTTAATAGCAAAACGAACGAATGAACAGTAAGTCCATCAAAATCAAAGCCTATGACAAACAATTAGACTATATTGGCAAGCACGGGAATGCTTTAACCTCCATCTATTTTAGAAAAAACGCTCGATAACGGATGTCTGTAGCGTATAAAAACTGTTGAATTATCTTGGAATTTACACGTATGTTAATCAAAATCTCTGCGTATTAATTATGTAGTTTTCAGTATTAAAGTCTTCTTCTCACCAGCCACTATAAATAGTATTCTGCTCTCCACTACGATCTTTATTTATATCACTGAAAAGTATAGGTTAACTTAATGTATGGTTGACATATTATAACACATTCTTATTTACTTTCATTCTTAGAATTAAATGTTGTTTTTTTTTATTCACCTGTAAATTAATAGAATACATTCCTTCACGGTTATTGGCTGATAATAAATATTAAATACGTTCCTTCACGGTTATTGGCTGATAATAAATATTAAATACGTTCCTTTATAAAATAAAGTCTTGTCGTTGCATGCTGATAGCGTTTGCCACCATTTCTAGTGCTGTGAGGACAGCACAGAATTTGTTTTACGATCTCAAAGAAACGATCATTCAACCCTTGATCAGAATCATCTTTTCCACTCGTATATTATTTGCTGGTTGTTTTGATGTTATTCATTAAGTATCGCCATTTATAATCGCTTTGAGAGAATTGCCGAAATAATATGTTGGGAACGGATAACTAGTCCGTAGACCTTGAAGAGAAATACATATATAAGAAAAACGTAAAAGTGTGTTGTTTTTTTTTTAGTTTGGCTATTATTTTTTTAATTACTTTGCTTGGGGACGTTCCGCATCAAGGGGTTATCTCTTTCCTTTTTCTTTTTTTTTCTGATGTCAGTCTTTCCAATTAAAGTTGGAAGTTAATGAGCGGAAGACTGTGCCAAACTATACCGCGTCCTGAAGCCTATATACAACAAAAACACGCAAAGTTTGTGCTAATGGACGCGCGTCCGTATCTCGTGATCCTAAGATCGGCCAACTTTAAACAAATTACGTATGAATATGCGTGCGGCGAACGTGTAAATGACTTCCTGACTGACTCTCACATCAAATGCTTGTGAAGAGTCTTCGTCCAGTCCTTCACTGAAGACATGAATAAAATAATACCACGGCTTGTATATATATACCTCCTGGTTTCGTTGAAGCGTGTAGTAATCTGCCAATTTACTAGTTGTTTTTTTCCTGTCTTGGTATTAAGATAAGGGAGTGAAAGAAACTGTCCGAGGTATACTTTCTCACGCAACAACTAATCCACTCGAAACTCAATCTGTGTTTTTACATGCTGTTGTACTTACACATGCAAGAATGAGTTAGGCCTTATACAGCTACGTATTGCAGATGTAGGTGTATACAGACAATGAGGGTGGGTACTTGACTACCCTATGAAAGGTCAATAAGTATAGAATTTGAGTGATTTAACCGATATGTGCCGCTCGGGAAACAAGGTTTGTATGTATATATATAAATAACACTTAGTACTTAATTTTATGCATATATTCACTTTTCTGCTACAGATTCAAGGTGCGATCATTATATCCAGTCCTTAATAGACCACATCTATATTGTATTACTTTATGATGCACGAGACAAATGTATGAAATGGAAGGATGTATTCATCAAAAGGTCAAGAGTCAGGCGTTAAAGGGGTAACCTCATTATTTCAGCTACGTGTATGCAAAATAAATGACCTTTTTATGTGTATTCATCGGTGGATGATAGCTTCATTATTTATACACATGAAAAGTAGGATAACAACTGGAATCTTTACATGATGATAAACTTTAAGTCGATTAACTCAACTTATTACAAAAGCCATGGGGATTGTGGTATTGCGTGTTATCCGTTGTCTGGTTTGTACAAGTTTATAAAGTGCCCAGCTTCTAACAAAAGATTTTGTAAGCTCCGAAACTAATTGTGATTTCAAGGGCTTTACACACTGTGATGTGATGGCATTGAACCTATATTCTTTTGTTTGTGGGCTATTAGAGATGGTTTACTTGAGAGATTTATTGCAGTATAAGACCTAGTCTGACGTCTGGCACACTTAATAACCCTTGTACAGACGCTCAACACAAAACCTGCTTGTAATTGCTCAAGTAAGCCTTGGCCTGCTTTTGCAAAAATTGATAACATATGTTTTTTTAGCGGAAAATATAGTTGGAGAAAATTAAAAACTGTGTTTAGAAAAAAAAAGCACTCAGTAGCATAAGATACAAAATCCAAGAAGGGACGGCAATACATAAAGCCACAAGTTTTCTAAAGACGGATTACTTTTTTGTAGAATAGCAGAAAAAGAGATATAACCAAATAATAGTTGTAAAAACCTGTTTTTATTTCCAGATCAACATTCGTTGATTATCAGAAAGTTAGCAGGTAAATGACTCTCGTAGAAAATGCCTGCTTCTGATTTCTTAACCCATTGGCTGCTCATTCGCCGTATATGGTACTGTCCGCCTCCGGTAGTTGAATGCGATTGTGCCCCGTACGGCTGCAAAAATTGTGCGCGTGTTTAGAGCAGCCGCAGTCAATGGGTTGAAGTCTGTAATCGTTATAATGCTTGCTTCTGATTTTTTAAAGTGGGTCGTCATAAAAATGCCTACTTCTGTTTGTTCTCATATTAGAACGTCTGCTTTTGGTTCCTTAAAGTCTGCCGTCATTAGAATGCTTACTTCTGGTTCCTTAACGTATATCGTATGTATATATAGGTAGATAGACAGATAGGTATGTATATATATATATAGATAGGTATGTGTATATAGATAGGTATGTATATATATATATAGATAGTATATATATATATAGTAA